TTTCATAAAATAGCAGGTCTGGATGACCTTGCAGATAGCAGAACCTGGATAAAAACTGACATCCCATGTGGCATCTTTGTTGAATTGTCTAAACATCCTGTTTGTTATGATGTGACCCCACCGATAATGCACTGTTTTCATAATTATATGGTGCAGGCAAGCATGCATCAGTTAAACATTTTTCCAGGGCTCACAGAGTTATTTATTGATGGATGGAAAAGGTGTGATGCTGTGCTCAATCAAGATGATGTTAAATGAAAACAAAGAAAAAAAACTACAGTACACCATAAGTAAAAAAAAATCATTTCAGATGCCCCTAGTATTTTAAATACTCAAATGCCAGCCTTCTAAAAGGCTGGTGGGACATTTTTAATTAACAGATACTCTTGGATTTATGTGACATTATAGTGTCAAGCACAAGATGTAGGTAGCTTCCTTCCTCGTCAGAATTTTAACCTCTCCCTTCCTTTCCTCTCCTTTTCTCCTACGCCCCTCTTTCCTGCAGACCGTCTCCATAGCAACTCCATGATGGGCACTGGGGGACGGGTTTCTTTACAGCTGCAGAGTCTGGAAACAGGTCAGCACTGCCATCCACCCAGCCTTGCCTTTGTCTGTAGAGCCAGTGAGTACTCCTGTTTCTGGTCAGTACAATGCCAGAGTGTGGGACAGCCAGTCCCAAACAGCCTTCTCACCAGAGTATCATTAAACTAAAGGATACTGATAAAAGGCAGGTAATCAACAAATGTTGATATTATTCTGAAAGGTTAATATGACAACAAAAATTGCAGGGCTAAATAATGAGTAATTTTTACACAGGCAATGAAACTGTAATAAAACACCAAGCGTAAAAAAGTAAAAACCAATACAGCAGTATTAAGCAACACTATTAAGTACTCTTTATCATGCAGGGCCTGATGAAGTCTGACATTTATACACTGGTGCAGAACATTTCAGAATAACCTCAAAATGTATATAATATTCTGGGATGCTAAGTGTGATAGTGTCATGACTACGCATAATATTTGTATTTATATATATATCCTTATTATGTATACCCTGTTATACAAAAACGGCCTCTTGCTGAAAACTCCTGACACATCCTGCTAGTTAGTAAACATGTAAATTACTTTGTTCTGTGTACTGTGCAGAAAAACAGACATCATGGTAAAACAATATCGTCAAGTCAGCAAGTCTGGATAAAGAAATGCTTACTCCTTTGAAGAAATATGATAATTTCATCAGACCCACACAATAAGGTGAATCTGCAATAAAACACTAAGTAAAACACTGGAGGAAAGATACAACGGTTCCAGATTTCTTAAAAGACAAAGTGAAAGCCTACTTTAGGACCTGCAATGGAAACAAGAAAAAGGTATATAGACCTGCTGTATACATTACTGTGAATTAATCAGTATATGAGTCCTTCACTCCCTTCATGGTGGGGGAAATTAGCAGTTGTCACAGTACAGTCATTCTACTGGAACTGGACAGGCTTTTAAACTGAATACTGCAGTAGAACAATAAAATCATTGCATTTGTCAGCAGTAAGGTTCTAATATACTCTATAAGCAATGGCAAAAGGTACATTCTGTGCACACCACTACAAATATGCTTTTCAGCATGTTAATCAATTTTTACAACGTTGTTTATTTGTGGTAATGCTGGAAGCTCACAATCTTGCAAGATTGCAATACAAGACCACTTTCTGGTCAAGTCCATTGCACACACGCATATCCCAACACCCCGTGACAGTTCAGTTATATCAAAAAATTTAGCTTATGTATCTTTGAAAGGTGGTCGGAATGAAGAGCACTCAGAGAAAACCATGTGAAGAAGGGAAGCCAGAAAGTGAAAGTCTGACTGTGGCCCCCCAGTGGGCCACAGGTGTTGTACCCTTGAGTGAAAAAATAACAAATGTACTGTTTTGTGAATAGGTACTGTCCTAGATGTTATTGTTCTGGTAAATGGGTAGTGTCCGCAGTCCACTGTACCTGGTTGAATAAATGTGTGCTGTATTGTTAAGTGTGAACTGTGGACACTGAACAACCAAGAGTGGTATACTGTTCCCACCATGTCTTCCCATGTCCCATGTCTCCCACCACATGTCAACATAAATTGTTGACATCCATCTATTAGTTTTATTTTAAGTTTTTGAGTACAGAACGTCTGATCTAGGTTTGTTTTCCTGTGCACTGGAAATCAGTTGCCTCTTTGACTAGACGTTCTTCGTTCCAGCTTCTTCCTCATTTCTTTTAGACTCTCTTTTGTACAGCTAATGGAAGACAATTTGATTTAAACATGAAAGATATGTGAATAATGGCAATAGGTCAAACTTCCGCACATACTGTATTTATAAATATTGTGAAATGAAAGATGCAAACTTGGACTTCTCTGACTGATGCCAGTCAACTGAATAAATCTGGAAATTGCACCCTGCCATATTAATCAGAGCAATACATTTATACACCCCTAGAATAAAATAAAAGCAGTAATTAAACATATTATTGTACTGGCATCTGGGCTAATTGTTGACACACACTCGACCTTAAACACCCTCTTCTTTTACTGTACATATTTTTGATATACAAATGCTGCCATAGTTCAGATTTGAACTGGCGACAATACATTTAAAACAACAAAGTGCTCAACCTTTCTCTCCTTCTGTGTGTACAGTATAAAACTGCACCTGTTGTCTTTTTTGAAAAATTGATATCAGTATATTGAAACAGTTATGAAATGGAAATCTACTGTACATTCAAACTACAATAGATTCCTTAAGATTTTATGACACCATTGCAACATTTCCAAGCGGGTATCTGGCAGAAAAATTCAAAGGTCAAGTGAGGTCATGAGTCACTTCTTGCCTTCAAGCCAGATGCCTCTACAAACGTGTGCAATGTCAAGTAGGGTCAAACACAACCAGGCAAAGAGTGTTACATGATTGACACAGGCTTGCTTGAACATGAGATGTACAGTAAAAACATCAACAGCAGTATTTGGCAGCGGATGCTCCTGATGCTTCTGTCTGAGCCGATCCCACAGAATATTAAGGGATTAAGCTGACGTTGGTTTTACTGTAATAACAGGTGGAACACAGGTCTCATAATGTTGAGAAACATTGTACAGTAACAAGAACAAACCAACAGCTAAGCTGGATTAATGGACAATTATATCATTAAACTACAACCACGGAAACAGAAACATTTCCATAAATAAACCTATCTGAGCGTTTTAGTGCCTTCTTCATATGCATGCTCAAACATTTCCAAATAAGGCAGAGAAACAATACTCATCAGAAAACAAAGCATCGTGTAAGAATCTCTCATTGTACAGCCTATTAATATTTTGTACAGTATTTGACCAGCTTCTCCAAGTCATTTGATAGCTTATAATTGGCCACAATTGAAGTCTGAATATGGCAGGAAAACACGGGCTCCATTATCTGTGCGAGCATCACATTTGAATGTGTACACTTGTAAGCGTGTTTCTTTCAATAGATATTTTGCTTTTCTGTCCTCTGAAGTTAATGAAGAGTACAAAAATGGGGAATGAGAACTAATAGTCTCTTCATGCATATCACATAGGATTTGGTGATACCACAATTTTCCATAAAATATAAAAATGTCCGTTCCTGTCCTTGGTATGAGTTAGCTCTTTTGTATTAATTAGCTACTATCAAAAGGACTAGATAGGTGGATTGCTTTTCTTTTATGTACAACTATTCATATACTGTAGATGAAATTAATCACTCTACTGCTAGCTTTACATCCATTCATTCAACAAAAAATGAGTAACCTCTAATTTTTAACATTGGACCACATTTATAACATCTGTAAACAACAAGATGAGCTTGAACAGGGAATGGCATGAATTATACAACGTTGACCATAATGGTACAATAATGACAATATATCTACTGTAATTTAACTGCATGTATCTCGCCCTTGTTCTCTCCAGAAAATATACTGGCCAGTGTTTTTTGTGTAGTGAGAATACATTATATTAAAGGGAATTCTGTATTTGATCTGAAGATGAGGGTGAGATTGCAGATAGATCTTTAGTTTTATTCTGGATCTGGAGTGTCCTGTCCAGATCCTGAAGAGTCGTAGACTGTTCTATTATTAGTTTTATACAAGCATTCAGCAAAGGAGTGGTTATATTATTGGGTTTAATCAGTCAAATTATGCGTTGCAAATGGCATGGTGTTAAGTGATGTTGCCTCATGGCTCTTACTGTAATGTAGGTCCTGAATTTGATTTGATTTTTTCTCCTGGTTTCCTGATTGTTTCTCACCTCTTAAAGACATGCTGTCTTGGTTCATTGGTGTCTCTAAATTGTCCCTGTTACCTTGTGTGTCTGCCATGTGATGGACAAATACCTCATCCTAGGTAAAGTCGCATTTGTGCCCTATACTACCAAGACCAAAACCAGAAATAAGCAGTTTTCTGATGAATGATGGACAATCAAATAACTATTTGTTTCAGGTAAGCAGTACATTACCAATAAAGCAGAGAATTAAAATTTTCAGGAAATTAAATGTAAAAAGTCACTTAAAACTTATTATCCAACTATTAATGAAATAAGAAATAAGAGTTATTTAGGTGTGAACAAAAATTAAAACTGTGGGTATTTGGTGGTGTAGTGGCTCTGAGGCTAAGGATCTGTGACTGTGGCTAGAAGGTTGCTGGTTTGTATCCTGTGGCTGTCAGAGAAATCTTACTCTGTAATCTTAATCTGTCCCCAAGCTTCTCGCCCTGTCTGTGTGTCTTATGGAGAGCAAGTTGGGGTATGCAAAAAGACAAATACCTAATACAAGAAATTGTATATGGCTAAGAAAGTGATCTATCTATATTGGGGTACAAAAAACACATTTTTATTTATATTCTGTGAGTTTATCCATGGACTTACTCTAGTTTGAAACAAAAAGCTCCTTTTTTACTGAATTGTTGGATTCTAATTTTGAATGTCACGTATGATGCAGCCAACATTCAGTCTCTTACCCTCTCTGTGTCTCTGCCTCTCTCTCAGAAAGCTCCACCTCCTGCAGGTGCTGATAGGCAGGACCTGAGTCCCTGGTTCCTCCAATGGGATTTAGTCTCCCCCTGGTTAGAGGTGGGGTTCTTCGAGGAGCAGATCGGTGAATGGGTCTACTTCTCTGGTCTGGACTGTGAGAGAGGGAGCTGCTCCTGGAAAATCAAAGCCATCCCAGATCAAGATACTATCAATGTATATTCACAACACAATGTCATATATTGCTTTCCAACCTGGAAAATGCATCTCAGTAAAGTCAGTAAATATTACAAATAAATGAGCGGATTCCTTCATGGCTTTTACCTGTGGTTGACAGTCACAAAAGAATGCCTAAGCCCTTACCATAAGGACTTGTCATTGTTTTAATTTTGAAAGGAACATAAATAAATTATTTGAAGATTATAGCTCATTGCTCAAGCCTGCCAAGGTCTTGCTGAAGTATAATAGATTTAATATATTTTCTTCAGCTGTGTTTCTCATATGTATGAATTTTATGTAAGTTAATACAATGCATTAGAATAGTAGTACTGCTATTAATCTAAGGGATTCTCAAACTGACTTCAGAGAGGTCTGTATGAGGAATGATTCGGTGTTCATCAATATGGCTCAACAACCTTAACATGAAACATTTTGCATATCTACAAAATGACAACGACAATTGCACATCTGCCAGGAAGGAGTCTGCTACAGGAACCATGAAGAGCCAAAAACCTCTGAAAACAAGAAAAAGAAGTGCTTTCATTTGATTGAGATTTCACAGGGTGTCGTGTCTAGTATCAATGAATTCTACACTCATACAAATGGTGCTATTTTATGTCATCAAACTGCTTTGCTGCGAGTACCCTTGGAATTTGTCACTTCATTAGAGTTATTTTAAAGCTGTTAATCCTGTTGACAAAACCTATGGAAGTTTGCAAGCCAGGTGATTCATCTTTACATCTTTAGCAAGTTGTTTATTTATGCTGCTCCAAGAATCAGTGCATATCTGTTTTAAATTCAATTCAGTTCAAGCTTATTATCCTCTGGCGTAAATTTGTTTTTCGGCACAGTCCAATACAACAAAAAAAGAAGGAAGACAAGCATTACTAACCGAGAAGTCAGTACGATAGTGTTACAGGAGATAAGAGGGTTACTTTACATTGTGTGAGAGAGCAATTGCAGCAGGGATAAATGATTTTCTGAATCTATTACTTTTACACAACAGACACAGAGACACAGAGGCTTCTCCCAGATGGGAGTAGTGTAAATTCACAACAGAGGGAGGTGGACGCCCTGATCTTGGCTTGTAGAGATAATTTAAGCAGTTATTTTGCTACTTAGTTTCACTAATTTTTCTAACATGTTACAATTAATGGTATTGATGTTGCCAAACCAACAAGTGATACAGTATGTAAAGCCGCTCTAAATAAATGACTTATAGAAAAGTGTTCAAATAGTCTACCTGTACCTTGGATTTAGCTGAGTTTCCTCAGAAAAAAGGGTCTTTGCTGTCCTTTTTTGTAAATGGTGTCACAACAGGTTTTTGTATATGAACAGTGGTAAATAGGTAGCTTACATTATTATTATGACTTAGTTTAAATACATTGACATGCCCTTGCCAAAATAGATTATTCTGAACTGATTAGGCCACATTATATAGCTATATAGAATTAGCTAGTGCCGTGAAAAAGTATTTTCCCCCTGATTTCCTCTATTATTGCAGATTGTTGACACTGAATATTTTCTGGTATCAACCAAAATCTAATATTAGGTAAAGGGAACATGAATGAAAAAATAACACTTTTTATTTTTACTTATTTAATTTATTTAACGAACAAAGCCATCCAACGCCAACTAGCACTGTGTGAAAAAGTAATTGCCCAAGTAAATCAACTCCAATAAAGAGATAATTTAGAGTCAGCTGATTGAACACAGCCAGGTTTGATTACAGCCAGCCCTGCTCAATATAAACCTTACTTATTTTGACCCTTACCATCAGAGTCAAGTTATCAGCACAAAGATTCAACAAGCACATTATGCCACAATCAAAGGAAATTCCTGAAGTGATCAGAAAAAAGTTTTTGATACAATTTCTAAGGCTCTGGGACTCAACTAAACCACAGTGAGAGCTACTGTATAATTTCCAAAAGGAGAACACTTGGAACAGTAGTGAATCTTCCCAGGAGTGGCCGACCTGCCAAACTTTCTCCAAGGGCGTAGTGTAAAATCATTCAGGAAGTCACAAAGCATCCTAAGAAAACATCCAAAGAACTGCAGGCTTCTCTTGCCTCAGCTAAGGTCAGTTTTCATGACTCCAGAATCAGAAAGAGACTGGGCAAAAATGGGCTTCATTGGAGAGTAGCAAGGGGGAAACCACTGCTAACCAAGAAGAACATAAATGCTCGTCTCTTATTTGCCAAAAAGCACCTGTATGATCCCCAAGCCTTTTGAGAGAATGTTCTATGGACAGATGAGTCAAAAGTGGAACTTTTTGGACGACATGGATCCCAGTATGTCTGGTGTAAAGCAAACATGGAATTCCACAGTAAGAACATCATACCCACATACCACCCAAAGGTTGTAGTGTGATGTTGTGGGGATGCTTTGCTGCCTCAGGACCTGGGTGACTTGCCATAATTGAAGGAACCATGAATTCTGCTCTGTATCAGAAAATTCTTAAGGAGAATGTCTGCTCATCTGTCCGTGAGCTGAAGCTGAAGCATAGTTGGGTCATGCAGCAAGACAATGATCCAAAACACAAAAGCAAGTCCACATCAGAATGGCTGAAATTAAGCAAAATTTAAGTTTTGGAGTGACCTACTCAAAGTCCAGACCTAAACTCAATAGAGATGCTGTGGCAGGACCTGAAACAAAAATTACCCATTACCTGTAAAGCACTTTGAGTGAAGTGTCCAGAAAAGCGCTATATAGTGTAAGAAATTATTATTATTAATATTATTAAGAGTAATAATTTTAGAATTTCAATGCAGAAGACTACAATTTTGAGAATGGCTCCTATAAAATAATTTTAGAGTTGGACAGTCCTGTTTACTTCCCAGGAACAAAAAAAACAGTTTCACTACCTTACAGCCACAACTCACTAAATGAAAAAGATATTCATCTCATTACTACTGTAGGAAGGCAGTCTTCTATGGAAAATCAAGTTCATTAAGTAATGTTGGTGGACCAGAGCTGAATGCCCCAGAATGGTTATAAGGAACACTGTGCTGGAGGAGTTATTTAACCAAGCTTCTAACTATTTGGTCATGAACAATCTCATAGCACTGTTTGTAAGTTTAGGGGTGTTTAATACTGTAGATTGATTTGTAGAGAGTAATCAACACATCTATTTCACCAAAAGATTCACTTTTAAATAAGTCAATAATTGTTTGATTATATATTGTTTGAATTTTCAGATGGGTTTATTTTGTATGAAACTGAATGTGTTGTACAGAATACCATCAGCTGACATGGGTTTCTGTTGTGAAGAAGCTGCTCTACAAGAAAAACAGACTCCTATAATCTGGAAAGGTCATTGTATAGAGTATACAATTAATGCTCACACGACTCTAAGAAATCAAATAAAAGCATTTGAAATGAAGTTAAATTTAAAGTCTAGGGCTGAACATAAAGGAAAGAAACAATTTAGCTCAAATTGATTTGTTATAATCCTAGCACATATTGTGAGGTTAAGATTGTTATCACTTCAGTAATGCCTCTATAATCAGACTTCAGACATTCTGTAGCTCCATCACAGGAAATCACTAACATAGATCAATTGCAAGCAGTTTATTGTTTATAGAGAATGCTGCAAACAAAACCAAATAAACAATAGATAGTCCATTCTAACACTGGAATCTCTCCACAATTATAAACATCTACTTACACAATACAACATGAAAGACACAGACCTGTATAAAAAATGTCTTGGAGCTTTCAAGCATACTGTATCTGAAGATTGCAAAATGTTCTAAATAAAATACAGTCCTGTTTTTCTGTCTATATAATATCAGTTTTGCTTTCTTATTAAAACAGTGTAGCACATGTTCTGTTAAGGAAAAGAGGGTAATATAGTGTAGAATAAAGGTTAATTAGGATGTCAGTATCTTTACACACTTAGCAAAACATCTGCTCTTTTGAAATTTTGTTTTGATTGCTTTATGAACATGTTCATACATTAAGAACTGTCATTATCATCTTTTTGTATTTATGTCAGTAATTTGTGTTACATGAAATTACATGAAAATATCTTTCTTGGCCGAACTGTTGTAAAGAACATGTAATTTCTTGAAAGAACATGTAATTTCTTGAAAGAACATGTTGTAAAGCTCAATACGTTTGTTTGACTTTGCATTACCAGGAATTAAAGAAAAATATATTTTGTTGCTTTTCTGAATTATTTAAAAGAAGCGTTTATAACTGCAGAATTTTAAAAAAATAGTTAAAGGAGGCAAACAAAAAAATGACAGGACAAATGTTATTCAGGTGAACAGTCAAAACAGCAGAATAAAGAACAAAAATCAATTTTCAAAGAAACTGGCTTGTGATCATTGTGCAAATGTGCACAGTCAGTAAGTATTTCCTCAAGAGGGGAATTTTATTAATCAGGTGGATAGGGATTTTTCCACAGTTCTTACTTTGACCATGATTCTGCCATACTCAATGGGATTCCCAATCTTGGTACAGGAGGTCTAATCACTTGATGTTTTTTTTTTATCCATGCCAAGCTCTGAGTTACACAATTAAACCTTTAATTAACTTAATAATAGGATTAATTTTAATTATTTGACTGGTTTTAGCCCTTAAGCATGTTTAACTATTGCATTTCATAAGTAGAATATAATCTGCAATTTACAGTATAAGCATAAGACTCACAACTATCCCAACTGAATGTGTTACTTCAATTAAGACTTCAATTTGTGCTTGACTGGATGAAAACCAGATGTTGTGTGGTCTTCCAGGACTAGGAATAGGAACCCCTGCTCTATGGGTATTCAGAATACCCCTTTCATGTAAACAATCATCAAAGCAAACTGTCATTTAAATATAGCCATGTTACAAATAACCAACATTATCTTCAAGAAATCTCTTAAGATGTACAGTACTACAGTATGTCCCTCTAACACAACTGCTAGATCACTGCATGTTTCTGGCACAAGCTGTCTTTGTTTCATTAATTCCTAATTAAGCTTTGTTATCCAATTAAGGAACTTGTCTTACTAAAAAGCTGTACTGGAATGAAAGGGAAGGTTAGGTGTTTGCATATTTGCCTGTAACAGAGAAAGAAAAGATTGGAGTTACACTGTGACAAAAAATAATTCTAAAAAGAGAGAATCAAGTTTATTTTGTCTTTAGTGTAGTAGTATTCCACAGTGCTGCAGAAAACAGCCAAGTTACAAGGTTTTAATGCAAATGATTATTTAGCCATTTAATATTATGACTTTCATTAGAATTATTCCATATTGGTTTATCTCTTTAGTAATTAAAAAGTAAGCATTAGTAAGTAAAAGCGTACATAGTAAATATAGCACATACTCTGTTACAAAGAAACAGATTGGCACACTATGGCAGGAAGACAACAGGCTTTCCCAACACAGGATCTGTGTGTCTGGAATCCAGCATCTTACTTGTCTCTTTAAGTTGTCAATGGCTGAAGGCTATAGAGAAGGAAAACGCTGGTCTGACTGAACGTTAATTGAACACTTGCACAGGTGCACAGCTGCACAGCTGCTTTTATTTCAAGAGTCACAGAAAGCCTGCTGGATTATGGACTCTGAAGACCAGAGCTGGGAACCACTGACCTAGAATCTCTGGTGTTGTTAACTTTGTAACTTTGGGAGCAGCATTCATCAGCCTTAATACAATTGAATAAAGTTCTTTTTTTTTCCAATTCGCGTGAATAGATTTTTTCTTGTTCAAATGAAGGGTGCCAATCCTTTTATTCCTTGACAGTATTTTCACTGATATCTATGAAACATGATGACTTGTGTTCCTGGAAACTAAAAACAATGTTTTTGGGTCATAGTTGTATTATATTACTATACAGTATATTATATTGTAATGCTCAGTATGTTGGTATGCTGTTCATCTAAAATCCAACCTTTGCTGTTCAGTAGTTTTGTCCAGTTTAACCCATTTAGGTCCTTAACAGAAAACACAAAATCTGCAAGGATGAAATTAGAGTCATACCTGTGGGGCTTTCCTGTGGCTGGGACTCTGGAGTGACAAGGAGGAGCAGCACGACTTTGAGAGAAGCTGGATTCACGAACACTGCCCCCTAACGTTGGGGAAGACCCATGACCCTTGCAGTACTGTAGAGAAAGTATGAAAATATAAAAGCATAAGAATGTGAATGTTCATGAGAAATAACAACACCCAAGAATGAACGCTATTGAAAACTATTTATTAAGAGTGCTTAGTCAAAGTATGATATAGTCTCAACTCACCTGGCTGAGGGCCAACACCCTCACCCAGAGTGAGGAGTTAACCAAGGGGTAGCTGCACAGGTGGAGACAGAGTGGAGGAGAGATGCAAGAGATGAATGTGAAGGTTTTAGGATTAAAAATAATTATTTTAAGTCGATTCTTAGTTGTCTCTGTTCAAGACAAAAAACAGTTACTCCCTTTAGCCCTGTCATTCCATTATGGTCAGCAATTAGCCTTCATACCTGATTTTAGAGTAGGATTGCCTGTTTTGTAAAATGGCCAAAATAATACTTTGTATTCTAAATGAGGTCTTACCAATACATTGTGTAATTTAACATACAGTACTGTAACTTTACCTTGACCTCAATATTCCCTAACGTTTTGTCAGCTTTTTTACTGCTTCACTGTATTGTATGCATGACATTGAGGAGTTCACATAAACACTTAAACTTTTTTTTTATAATGTAGGTAAGCTGTCTTTCTATTACCCTCCAGCAGTACATATCGTGGAGTCATGAATTATTGAAGTAGTCATGGCAATCGTAGAGGTGACAGGCTTGTATAATGCAGAAATGAACGTCTGCAAGTTTTTAAATGCTACACTTTGAGATCAGGGTCACCAATTCATAACAAAATTCCAACTAAATACCATAGGAATAATGCATGAACATTCCCTGCACCTTCTTTAAGTTATGTAGCTAATAAATCGTACAAGGCCTATGGCAACTGTTACTATAGCACTGGGGCAGACTTAGTTGAGGCTGTGTCATGGTTTTAACATGAGAACAACATCACAAGTCAGGGGATGAACAGAAGATGTTCAGTGGTTGTCCCTGTGGTATTCATTTGTATTCATTCATAATGAATCGGTGGACACTGCTTTAGATATTTCATTTCCTACTACCCATACAATTAAATTCTGAAATCAAAATGTCCAGAAGACTGGCTAATAAGATCACCTGTAATTGGCTGGGCTAGAGACCTGGCCCTCTCAGGAGGCTCAGCTAAGTCACCAACCAGAATAAGAATGTGTTGTTAAAATGGATATTGCCCCATTTTCTCTTCCAGTGAAGTTATTTTTTTCTTTCAGAACACTTTCCAAGGACCGCCAATAACTGCCTGGTCAGAGTAGTAAAGTACTTGGATATATGTCTTTATAGTGTCCTGGATAGTGATGCTTTCTGACATTGTGATTCAGAAGTAAGCAGACATGGCCTAGGTTGGAATTTGACATTGATGCTAGAGACTGAAGAGTTAAAAAATGTATCACTTTACTCAGATGTCTTACAAACAAATCTTCAGAAAGTAAACACAAAACAAACCATCTAACAGCTTTTTGCTTGGTCTTTAAAACCTATAATTTTGTATAGTTCTTTATCACATAAAAAAAAAAAATGTTATAGTGAAAAGTAGTGTACTCGGCAGAGACAGAAGTACAGTACAGAAGCTCTTGACCTGGTCTCACTGTGAGATAAGATTGAACACAGGAGGTACCTTAACACACAGACTTGTGGGTATCTGGTACAAACCACCCAATTGGGTTGATTTTTTGCAATCATTCAACTAAAAGCTGAACAAGATTGTCTGACCCATCATCTACTAGCAACCAGGTGAATATGATGGATAAAAAGATTTTCTCTCCTTTTGAAATTCATTCTATATCATTTGCCTATGAAAGAATGATGAATGACCAGGCATGTTTACTGTCTGTTGGGTTTAATACTTACCTTATTTCAGTGTACCTTCAATAAAAAAAACACTGACTTGCAATTATTACCTCTTTTTCCCTAGTAACAAAATTCCCATTCAGTATACTAACTCAAGACTACACTGTTTGGTCTATGTACATAATGAAAACATTTATAGCACAAAGTGGAGGGTCTTTCTTTTTCAACATCTAAGCTTGAAAAGTAATAAAGTAAAAGCAATTACAGAGTTCAGAAATGCTGAAACAGACTCAATAGCCTTCCTCCCCATCCCCCTCACAGACTCTCTCCTGGCTTATAAAAAGAAGAAAAAAAATATTTTAGGTTCAATCACGTACAGTAGGATATTGTACATGTTTGATATATGACCCCCATAGCAAAGCTAAGTCAATTTAATTGGATATTACATTGAAGATGTGGATTAAGCTAGACGAGTTTCAATTACAATTCCTGCTGGGTTTTATAGCTCTGCTATATAAGAGCCATGCATTAATCCAAGATAAGATTATATTAATGGAATCTTAAAGAATTTCTTTGATTTTTTTGTTCTTTCATTTTTCATTATAAGGTCCTTCAGTGCTTACGATGCAGAAATTAACTCATAAAGTACAGAATTCCTAATTTGTCATATCTTAGATAAAGCAATTAGAATAATCAAGTGAAATTCGCAACTTAGTTTATGACAAAGCAATATCACACGAATGAACCAAAATACATACAAGGAGAATTTGCAGGAGAGTACAATTTCTGTTGGAAATCGTTTGGAACTGGCTGGTTTGTCTCAATACAAATTCAGATTCAAATTGAGTGGGTTCAGAAAATGTGCACAGGGTCCCTAAAATGATAATTGTAATAAATATCTGGCATTGTTTATGTGACGTGTACTGTTGTTTTCACACTGGGCAAGAAATCAATATTCAATGGGGTCTAAGCTAATTGCTGATCTTTGTTTTCGGTCTTGCCTAGTGTTGCACAGAGTTCACTTAAGTACCATATTAGCTAATGCCGCCCCTGCAGGTAGTTTTGATAGAACATGAACTTACTGTATTTGGCAATACAGAAAATTAAAGCTGCTCAGAAATTAGTATTGGACCAAATATTATTATATCACTATGGAGTGCTGTGATGAACATTTTTTTTGTACAGTGTCATGTAGTAAGTTAAACCAAGCTCTGTGATTTTATCAAAAAGCCTGAGGAATCTATGTGCCAACAAGCTCCAATTCATTAATTAGAGCTAATTACTTGGCTAACTGGTACAAATGTAAGATTTCTCTCTAAGCCTAAAAAATATATTAAAATCAGATTCCTTTAATCACAGGCATCATTTTAAAGTGACAAAAATGAAAATAAAAAAAAATCAGTATCACTTTCTGAATTTTAATGCTGTTTCCCAGAAAGAATGATCAATTCCTGGAAAAGATTACCAAGCCATATTGTGGAGGAGAGATACTGGGAGCTTTCAGAACAAAGCCTGATGCTTTGATACACTCACACAGTACGTAGGAAGATGAATTGCTTTGATAGCCTGAACAGCCACTTTTCTTCATTAACTTTCCTTATGCTTTTACACCCACCAGAAGATACTGCGACACCATAATACATGAATCTGACACTCTTATAAGCAACTACTGTTATTATATTTACTTTTTTTGCTTAGATGGCTCGCTTATCCAAGCATAAGTAATGTAAATGTACATAGGTACAGTATTGTAATAATATTATTAAACTAGTTTGAGAATGTGCAGTTTTAGATGTGATATCTAGAGGTCTGCAGCTCTGTTTTAGTCTTCTAGAATAGGAGAAAAAAAATGGGACAGATTTGGTGACAGGAAGATAAATATCAGCACCAAAGAAACAAACTGTAATGGGGCCATCAAATGCACCACAGGGAAGGAATAAGGAGGAAACACAATTAGCAGTGAGTGAAGAATAATGAGAGCTGAAAAATCTTTCCCTCAAACCTCTATCTCTGACTGTCACAAAGGCGCGGGAGCTCTTCTGAATTAGTGGCATCAAAATTGTTTAATGCTGTCTCTCAGCTATAAGTCAACGCTTTTGTTTGTGAAACACATCTCTGAGTGAGTGTTTCGCCAGGTACAAGGCATCAAAAAAAGATTAACATGATAACCTATACAATCCTTCCTTGAATAACACAGTCAACCAGCCCACGCAGAGGACAACACTATATGCAGTATAAGACATATCTGAGACAAGGAGGTGCCATTCTGTTCTGTTAATGGGCACAAGGAAAAAAAGAAACAGTTCTAAATTATGCCCTTATTATGCCCTCAATTCTGACAGTTATGAACATATTGACAAACAGGACATTCTGAGCTCCTGAACAAAACTGGTTTGCTCTGTGAATGCACACAACAGTGAGAGAGTATCTTGGCACCATTTCTGTTGGATGAAAGTTGAATGTGTCTGTTAATGAACAACATCCTAGTACTTCTTTCATTTGTAACGTGAAACTTTCTAACATCCATTGTAATAATAAACACAAGAAAATGTTATGTTAATACTGGAGTTTAATGGATGATTGAGGCAGGTACAAAAATGTCAAAAGGCCTAAAAACACCTAGTTCAAAAGTGCCCTGGAGACATACTGCACTGTAGAAACAAACAAGACTGCATTTTCATAGCAGTTTTAACTAGTTGTAGACTTTGAAACAAACCAACAGATTTATAAGAATTTGCACACCTGAAGAAGGCTCCACGGCCGAAACGTTGTGTTCTCTTTCTTCTTTTTTTCAGCATGGAATAAACCTATTACTTGTTCCTTTGCAGCCTACGCATGCTGACGCAGCTACCCACCTGATTTATAAGAATTTACTGTGTAAAAGTGTAGAAACAGACATAATACAAGCATAATATATAATACATAATCTGCATAATACAAGCCTGTCAGTGTTTAAATCATTTAAGATATATTGGTTTGCTGCTACAGTGGTACAACCTTGTATACTGTATGTGGCTGCAGCAATTATACAGTGTACTGTACCTGAAGTGGATCAAACCACTGTACAAATAAGTCTTACTAATGTCCCCGAGGAGGGCCAGAAAGTAAGGCACAAATCAGTTTCTACCTTGTTCTCTGAAAGACTGATATTTTCATGGACAGAACGGATGTTCTGAAAGGTTCACAGAAAGTACAAGGACAGAATGATGTCTCTCTCTC